CCCCCCCCCCCCCCAACCTGGTGTGGACTTGCAGCACCACTGAAAGCATCTTAAGGCACCCGGGTTGTTGCGGCTGAGAGTCACACACTTCATAAAACTGGACAACTTACAAGTTTCACCAGCAAAAACTAAGCTGAGGACACAACAAAAGGAATAGGTCTCTGCTTAGAGAGAACACACAATGATCTAATTGTTTAGAGTCTAATGCAGAACTGGGTGTGTTTAACAGATCTCTAGAGTACAGTGACCGCACAACTTATAGTCTGGGCTTTAAGTAATTTTTGAAGGAAATATTTTAGCTGAGTAAAACTGAAATTACCTATGATATCTGTGCTGTCTCCTTCTAAAAGACTTCCTGAAAAGAGCTGGGATGATTGAGAACTAGCAAATGCAGAGAGAGTCCAGAAAAACAACAGTCTGTTTAAAAAACAAACAAAAAAGCATATAAAACTTACTACTTATAATTTCATAATTTTGCAAATATTGTGTTTTAATGTGCTCTTTTGGAGTATTTTTTCAAAAACTGGCTAGGCAGGTAGATAGTTTTGTTTATCCCCACCTTACTGATAGTTACCAGCAAGGCTGGCCTGATTTCCTAATAATTTATTCAGGCATAAACAGGTACCCAAGAAATCATGTTCTAAGTTGCATTTTAACCTTACACCTATTCTGAATCATGATGCCTACTGTTTCTTTGCTTTTTTTTATATCCATATAGTTACTGTACAAAGGGGAACAGAATGGGTTAATGGCTTTCTTCAACAGAAGAGAAAATGCTGCACCAAGCCAAAAATTTTACATGGCTTCATTTTCTGTCAGTATTATGTGGCTAACAAATTGGGAATTAGTAGATAGTAACTGACAATCTGTTTGAAAATCACAAGGAATATGAATTCTAGCTGACAAGCAGAAAACTGTCAAGGTGTTCTTGTTTTAAGCCTAGATTTCAGGCTTAATTTTTCAAGAGGCAGCACCTTGAAGTCTAGTCACTTTCAAAGGGTTAAAAATCCTGCTTTTCCCATAGTCCTAGTTCATTTTTTGTGGTTATAAAAAGAAAAAGTGCATGTACATGCTATGTTAAGGGAACTATGTTCCAGGGTAGCGCACGCAAGTGTGCCAGAGTAATGCATACACACAGGATTTGAAGTATGAAATCTTAAGTTGCATGTTGATGTGTGTGGTCATAGGACTTCTCCGTCCAATGGATACAGCTCACTGAACAAAAGGGTTTTTGGTGTTTTGTTGGTTTGTTTTATCCTGTATTTTTATAACTTTAGGCTTCATATGCAGCCCTATGCTTTGTTCACTGGATACTACTCAAACCAGTTCTTCTTGGATGCCAGTCTCTCTAATAATGCAGTGCTCCAGTCATTAATGAATTTTCCCTTGTTGGAGTGGTGTTATCCCTAGTCTAAAGATGGGTGAAGGGAGGCACAGAATAACCAGAATAAAAAATCTACTAACTTTTTGGTGTTTGGAATTTTAAATTGTTTTAAAAAAAAAATAGTATGTAAGTTACTTACATCAGCTTCTTGAGAAAATGTAAACTCAGCCCTCAGGTCTCAAGTTGGAAACCTGCCTTTAAAAAGTTTAGCTAGATCTTACAAATACTTGTGACTTACTTGCACACTGTTAATGGGGGTTGATCTTGAGGATATCATCCACAAGCTCATACCCATCTGCTGACTGATTATATCGCACCTCACTGAATTGACCCACTGTAGCAGTTGAGCCTGAATCATTTTGCTCTTTATTTTCTTTTTAGGAATAATATTGTGAATATCAAACTGTTCTTATATGTCCTAATATTTGGCATCTGTCTAGTTTAGTACATAGTAATTTGGTATAATGCATGTTACTCGTTGTTTTAGCATTTACAAGACTGTTAAATTAAATGTATACTTTTTTGGTATAAAACACATGTTTTACTTTAAATTCTTGACACCTTTTTAATAGCCTTCTCAAGCTGCAGAATATGAACAGGAGGAACGTATAGCATCTGCTATGCTCGCTGCAGTTGATGGAAGAACTGAAGATGCCTTGCTAGCATTTGAAAATATTAAGAATGTTGTTTCATACTGGAATCTTGCACTAGTAAGTGTATAAAACTTTTTTTTCTTTTAAACTTTTGGGGTGTTTAAAACTATATACTAAGTCTCACTCTGTTGGCTAGATATTCCAAAGAAAGGCTGAGGAGATTGAGAGTGATGCACTCTCACCAGAAGAACAAGAAGAATGCAAAAATCACTTGCGAAAGAGTAGAGACTATCTAATGAAGATCATTGATGAAAGTTTTACAGACATTTCAGTAATTGAGAAGGTATGCATGTTGGGCTTATTCCAGATCTGCTTGTTAATGTGATCAGAATCTTGATCTCAAACACTTTTCTATGAGTAAAAGGGTTTAGTGTGTCACATCTTTATATTGAAGTGTAACCAATTAAAAAGAATTCCCCCTAGCTTGTCTTGAAAATGTAGAGGATGGTCAGCATAATGTTCTGTTCTGAAATACTGCTGTATGCCTTCATGCTTCTTTTTGTAAATGTGAAGTACTGTAGTCACAATTCTGAAATTGAACTGAAATGAGAGAACTTTGGAGGGTGTGATGTTGTCAGGGTTGCAGCACAGATTTGATTATTAACTTTCTGTATAGCTTAACCTGAATATCTGTTTATAAATAATTGTAAATGTGGCTGATTTAATCAGAAAAAGACGTTTTAATATTATGTATTGTTAAATCAGTTAATGACTTGTTAGGGCCACTTTCTTCTCCAGAAGTTCAAGCATTTTACCCTAAGGATAGTGATTTGTATACAGGTTTCCCTCAATTTATGTGGGTTCCATGTATGCAAACTTGGTCTTATGCGATGACCCTTCTTATACCCCAGATTCATTATACGCGAGGTAAATTCACCCTTATGCGATTGGCTCCAGGGCTCTGCTTGTCCCCGCTCACCACAGCCCCTGGGTTGTGCTGTGTCATGGTGCAGGCAGGTGGTGTCAGCTGCTTCCAGGGCCGCTGCAGCAGGGGTTGGAGTGATGGGTAGAAGCAGAGGCCCGGGATGCAACAAGGTAAGTCAGTAGGGAAAGGGGTGGGGCACAGCACAGCCTATTGGCTGCTCCCAGGGCTGCAGCAGGGAGCAAAGCAGAGGGAACTGTGAGTGGGTGCGGGACGGGAGTGGGGCATGGCTCTTGTTGCTGCGCGCACCCTGGGGGGCTGCGCTGGGCTCTTTCTGGGGGACATGCCCCTGGATCTGTGCGCAGGAGAGCAGCAGGCTGCCATTGCAGTTTGATACTGGCAGCAGCACTAGGCTCTTTCTGGTGCTCAATGGCAGTGCTGGGAGGGCAGGGTTGGGGGCTATCGCAAATTTTGGGGCAGCAGCAGCACCCCCACCCCGAGTGCTGGGAAGAGCTCAGTGCTGCCTGCAGCAGCAGCCTGCTCTCCTCCCACACGCAGATCCAGGGGCACATGCCTCCTGAGAACAGCCCAGCCTGCAGCCATCCTGGGGTGCACATAGTAACAAGAGCTGTGTTCCCCCATCCCGCACCCTGCACCCACTTGGTTTCCTCCACTTTGCTCCCTGCTGCAGTCCCAGGAGCAGACCACGGGCTGCATTGCGCCCCTCCCCCTGCCCCTTCCCTAGTCCCAGCCTTCCTCCCTCCCCTCACTGCTGTGGGAATGTATCCCTGTTTCTTACACTGTAAACTGGGTTCTCTTTATGCAAATTTGATTTATGCACAGTTTTCTGGGAACGCATGTACCGCATAAATTGAGGGAAACCTGCACTTGAACTCTTTATATCAGATTGTGCAAGAAAAATGAACATGTTTCATGTAAATAATGGAGGTGAATAAGAAAGGTATTCTGGAAAATTCTGTGAAGGATTATGAAGCCTTAACAAAGTAGTGTCCAAGTTTGCTTTATTAGAAACATTGATCCAAACCTTAATTTTTTCAGACAGGAAGGCTGTTTGGAGGGAAGCATCTTAACATAAAACACTACTTGCTGGCTAGTACATTGTACACCACTAGTACAATAGATTCAAGGGAACATACCCTGAATTAATAAAGAAAACTAAAAGGGATAACTTATTCCTGAAATTCTTTCCTAGTTACCAGTGTCAATAGAAACTGTGAAGGAGACGTTGGATACAGTAATTCATGAACTTGGGGATTATGGTGAAGAAGGAAGCCCTGTCTTCAAGAATGATCTATCTCAAGCTGCAGCTGCAGAAGTAAAACACTCTACTCCCTCGCCCACAAAATTTGCTTTATCACCAAGTAAAAGCTACAAGGTATATCAAAGAGTAAAAGTTTTTTCCTAAAGAGTATGCATGTCTAAAGAAAAGAAAATGATGATTCAATATTTCCTCTTCTAGTTTTCTCCCAAGACTCCGCCTCGCTGGGCAGAAGATCAGAAATCCTTACTTCAGATGATCTGTCAGCAAGTAGAAGCCCTTAAGGTATATATGACCATTTGGAACATATCTAAGTCTGTTTAGTGAAGAAGAGTCTTTCTAGCAATGTGTATATTTGTAAAAATCAACACTGGCTGGGGAAGTTTTGGCTTAAAACTTCACCAGTGTGGTGGGACCTCTGTTTTAGTTCTATGTAATTTGTCTAAATCTCTCACCTGGGGAAAGGTGTCATTTAACTAAAAATCTTTCTTAAGCGCTAGTCTTACAGGTTCTTAAGTAGATATAGACATCTGTTAGGGAACTATGGATGACATGACCAATACTTACTAAGGAAAAAGCTTTTTAGTCTTTTCTGTAAGAAGACTTTCTCTAATGCTCAGAAAGGGGGAAGAGAGAGAAACATCTTAAGTTAAATGGTTAAAGGGACAGAACAAAAGTACTAGATAATTACAAAATACACTTATACCTATTGAATACCTATCTAGTAGAAGCATGGATAAAAATGGTTTTGACTTCTGTAGCCTAGTCAGTTAGGCGTTTGGTTCACTTATCTTGTGTCTTCCACTGAACAGTGCAGTTAGAATGCTTTTCTTTTGTAGACCTCTTTTCCAGGCCTACTTAGTGGTGCCTTATTCTCATTATGATGGCTTTCTCCCATGTCTCAAATACTAGTAACCAATGTTGCTGACCTGACAGAAAGTTATCCTTAGTTATTTTTCTCAATTTCATATGAAGCCTTGTGAGATCATACTTGTTAGCCAAGCAGTTGTTTTTCTGTTTGTTTTTGGGTGGGGTGTGGGTATTGGCAGGCATAAGGAAGATAGTTCTTAATCCAGGAGTGAAGTGTTTTAGTTACAAATTGATTAAACTTTTTTATTCATTCTGGGTTGTTGTTTTTTGGGGGGGGTTTGCCTGAGCACTACAGTATCAGTTTTCTTTTGTTGTTTTTTTTTTTTTAAAGCTTACCACTTCAAAGCAGAACCCATATAGCCTATGTCTTCACGTCCCTAGCTTTTTTGTGTTATACTTTATTGGAATCCAGTGATAGCATAACAAAGTTAGTTTGTTTCTGGAAGATTCATTTAGTACTGGTTATACTGAAACAAACTGTGTCTTCTTTCTTTGTCCCTTGAAGAGTAGCACCTCTGTTTCTGCCAGAGTTGTAAATTCGGAGTTCTCAGACTCTGACCTTACTCAGAACCAGGTTAATTCAATTTGCAAAAGAGGAGCTGAAAGTCTACAACTGCTCTGTGAGCCATGTGCCTGACTGCAGCTGTGTTGGCTGTGCCAATAAAAATGAGGAAATTCTGACACTTGTTTCAGCTAGTATGTACCATCCAAGGTCAGGTGCATTAAAGAAGGCTCTGGCACCTGCTGAGGCAAGGTTTCTCCGAACATCCTGATGAATATGACTTGCCTTTGTCTTCATCTGCCCATTAGGAGAGACCCAAACCTTTGCTCTCCAAGGAACAGAGCAGTACAGTAGTATTGCCTGTCCCTGTATCAGGCTCAGACCTGATCTATGCTGTGTCATTCTGCCAGCAGTACTGAAGGCATTCAGTCTTGCAGGTCTCCTGTGGTAACAGAAACAAAGTGAAAGAAAACTTCTGCTGCCATTCAGCAGCAATCAAAAGGTAAATGTAGGCAAGTCTGTACCTTCTGCCAGGTTCCATAGCACCTTCTAACAGCTGTGCCTGCACAAGGTGCGTGTTGTGTCCTGATGACTCTGCTTGTGGTGTGGGCTTATGCTGGTGTGTACACACTCCAGCTGCCTCTTTGTAGTGCCTGGTTTCTGTCACCAGAATTCCCATCTACTGGAAAGGAAACTGACTGCATTGGGGAGAAATAGCTTTTTCTCCTCAGGTTTTCAACAAAATGCATGTTCCCTGATGCTCCAAATATTTAACTCCAGTCTGTAGTGACGTACTTCAGCACTCTGTGGTATGCTGTGCTGATCCATGCTTAAAAAAATTAAGGGCAAATGCTGCTGGTGGCTTATCCTTTGGTTCCTTTCTATACAGTCTTTCTCTAATAAACTCAGTACACTTATAATTGTTCTCTTCAGGACAGTTGTTTCATAGTTAGTAGGGTCGGAAGGGACCTGAGCAGATCATCAAGTCCAACCCCCTGCCATGGCAGGAAAGAGTACTGGGGTCAAACGACCCAGCAAGGTGATCGTCTAGACTTGTCTTAAAGACCCCCAGGGTAGGAGCCAGCAAGACTTCACTTGGAAGTTGGTTCCAGATCCTAGCCACCCTGACAGTAAAGTAGCGCCTCCTGATGTCTAACCTGAATTTACCCTCTACCAGCTTGTGACCGTTATTTCTAGTCACTA